AAGATTTCGGGCCCTGTGAAGACGAAATTGTCAAACGTGGAAATCATTGGAAAAACCTTGTGGCGGGGAGCATTGCAACGCATGTGCGATGGCATACACGCAATATGGATGTAGCACGGCACACTCGCACGATCATGGCGCACGCACGTGAGGCAGGTGTACCACCTGACATGGCGGACCGTACACCAGCTGCTCCTGTTCTGTATCAGTGTGTACTCTGTGGGCACCAGGCCCCCAGTCAGGCCTCGCTGAAAGTACATGCGTCGCGTACTCACCACCAGCACCGCCGGCTTGCTATGCGATACGTCACTGCGGCGACTTGCTCTGTGTGCTTGGTCCGGTGTAGAGGGATTGAGTTCGCTGTTGACCACATGGCGTGCGGCAGTCCCAACTGCATGCTCACGACCCTCTCGTCGTACACTGTCTGCTCGGAGGAGGATCAGGAGGAGGCACGGAGTATGGAGGCCAGCGAACGCACCCAGGCACGCAAGGAGAGCGCCATACATCGTGGAGCACGCGTGCCTGCACATCTGTTCCCTGGTCCGCTCAATACTCCCCAACGGTATGCCCTGCCCTATGGTGAGGCATGGAGCCCGATGGCAGCAGTCGGATACACGTACCCCGAGAGTGCACTCGTGCAGGAGCTTCGACCCCCACAGCAGGCAGAGCCACTCCCCGAGGACGAGCACACCTTTCAGCCTCTCTTGTATGACGGGCTATGTGCGGAGCATGTGCCGAGGGCCCCCAGGTACCGCATCCTCGCCTTCCTCCACCTATTCTCTGGGGCACGGCGCACAGGGGACGTCCAGGAGGTTCTCCAAGGTATGCTGCAAAATGGCCCGGTCACGATCGTGGTCATATCTTGTGATGTGGCATGCGACCCTATTCTTGGCGACTTAACCCAGGAGGACATCGTTCTACGCTGGGAGGGGCTGTTGAAAAGCGGACGGGCCCTTGGCCTCATCGGGGGCCAACCATGTGAAACGTGGTCGGCAGTGCGCTGGCAGCCTCTGTCTGAGGGCACTCAGCGCACCCCCCCCCTCCGGATACACAAACACAGATGGGGAAAAGCAGATGTGACAAAGCGGCAGCACGAACAGCTACGTATCGACATTCTACTTCTACTAGAGGCTCATAAGCTCCTCCATGTCTGCATGGCGGCTGGGGCCTGCGGCATCCTTGAGCACCCCGAGGAGCCCCACTGGGAACCCCGTGCTCCCTCCAGCTGGAGAGCCCAAACATCGCGCGCTCTATTGGCGTCCCCAGTCAGCAAGTTGGTGTCGTTTGACCAGTGCGTATTTGGTCGAATCAGTGTTGAACCCACATCCCTGCTGTGTGTACGCCTTCCTACGCTGGCCGCCAAGGTGCAAGAGCGCGGCCGCAATGGCCGTTGTGATCACCCGCGTAAGTATCATCATTTTAAGGGTCTGGATCCTGAAACGGGCACCTGGAGGACCAACCCCAAAAAACTATATCCCTGGGACATGTGTCGGGCTATGACGGAGGCTATACGGGACCACCTCAACTACGCCCTCCAGGAATGTGACGACTCGGTACTCGACGATAGTGAGCTGCCTGCTGGGTTAGAAGCGTGTTTTCAGGTCCTCGACCCCTATGCTGCATCACCTGAGTCTTTGCATATTGCACGTGACTTTGTGTGGTGCCGGCTTAATCAGCAAGAAGTCTCTCGCGACTGTCGCTTTGACAGGCCCCAACGTTCTTCCCCTGTGGCCCCTCCTCCTGCCAGCCCTGAGCCGTGTGAAGAGCACTCGGAGGAGGCCATCTTACAAGAGATGGAGGCGGCAGCGGCCTCCATGGGGC